CGGGTGACTCACGACCCAGGATTTGATCCCCGGGCCGCTCGCGTGATAAGCGTGCCACTTGCCACTACACCACTTCCGCCCTATATCGGTCTATACTGACTGCAAAACACAAAATCATCTGCAAGTATCACTTACAGTTCGATGCACAAAAGGTTCGCATTTAGTAGAAAAACGGAGCTAAAAGAAGCCTATTATTCGTTGCCCTATCCAACCAAAGTGAGGGGCTGTGGCTAAACACCCTCATGGTGTGGCCCTTACCATCTAGGACCTAGAACTCTCGGTATACTGGAGCCGCATACAGCAAGCTCCGAAGGCCTTCGGAGATGTATCCCCGACCACCTTTGGGAATTGCTGATAACGGCCCCTCTGGAATCGAAGGATTAAAAGAGGGTCAGGTTACAGCACGACCTCTTCCGTTAAAACCTCAAAGGACTCAGCTTAGGACGTCCATTAGGATTTCCTAACAAGATGATCCTATTTTGAGATCCTGGGGCACGGGTGGGTCTATTCACAAAAAGTGGTCGTTTTTGGGGAGGCATGGGGAGAATCGTGAGGTTCATGAGGTTGGATTTTTTTTCGAAATTTGGAGAAATTTCAAGAGTTTCGCTTGCCCAAGTGTAATATTTACCTCACCACGATTTTAAAGTTTTAAGCGGGTTTTGAAGTGTGCCGATATGAAGTAGGTTTGATGGTGCTATGAACTCCATGGATTGTTGGAGCTAGTCATGGAGATGCAAACTCTTCAGGAGGTGGGAGGTCGTTCACCTTCAGAATCCTCCCCAACGTTACGGTTGACCCGTGCGGCCCAGCTAGCATACTACCCGTCCACGTGTGATGTTATCATTGCATGAAGTGGCCCGTTCACTCCAGATGGAATTACGGCCGCACACCTCGAGAATGAGCTAGCACTCCTTACCAACATCATGCGGCCGGGTCAGTCGTTTGCAAAGCTGCATGACATTTGGTCACTTTGCCAGATTACTGAATTACAACGCCTGTCAGTTCAACTTGAAGACTCTGCGGAGAAAAGCCATTGGGGTGCAATGCTAGTCAGGTGCACGAGCCAATTTCGGGATACGGTAGGCGCGAATGTATGTATTGGTGCCCATTGCTGTGATGTCACGATAATGGAGTAAAATCGCGAAGCAAGGTCATTCCTAATGTT